AAAAGGGTCAAAATTTACACTCAAATCATTTGCACTCCATAGTTTTGCATCAGGGTAAATCTATTTGCATTGCAACCAAACACAGCATTAGTTCTCTATGTATGTAAATAAATAAAATAATGCATGGAAAGAGTACATTAGGCACAATATATAGGGCATGATGATGACAACATGCATGGCCACTACTTAAGCGTGTGAACCCCACAAGGCCACAATGTGAACTCAGTTTAGGTAAGACAAGGGCACAAGAGAAAGGATAAGACACTAAAGCCTTTGAGTTGGCAACAAATATCGTTGAGTGCTTAGAGTGAGGTTTGATTTGTACCTATATGGTGATCTCAAACCCAAACCCACTTAGGTATTTGAGATTAGTGACCCATTTGTTTAAACCCTTTATCTATCAACTGATTAATGGAAGGAAGCTTCCGAGCCCATGCAATATTCTGCATTTATCTGAATCATATTAAATGGGTTATCATTCTCACTTTGGAGCAACAGTAGCTTATAGTTCGGACTTGGAGATTTATTTTATTAAAGAGTCCACGTCAAGACCTAATTTAATTATCAGTTCCCCCATTTCCTCTTATCCCTCACAAATTAAAATCTTCTAGCTACCTTAGATTGTTTAAGCCTTGGTTTGTTGAGTATAATGTATCTTCACTTTTCAATTTCTATAGTTCAATAGAAATTAGATGACAGTAGAACAGTTCAGCAGCTTTCTAACATGTTCTCAGTTTTGTAACTACAACCAGCATTCACAATTATAGTACACAAGACAAGACAAAGAGAAGAACAATTTGCCAAGCCATTCCGTTGTGTTTGCCATGTTAATACTCTCTCTCTCTCTCTCTCCTTTTGACAACAGACTCCTGAAAATTCTAAGATGTAATATATTTGCCGAACGTGCGGACATAGGGATATTCTAATGATCCCACTGCACTTTCCTTCTTATTTTATTACTTGGAGAATATAATTTTCTATTCTATTAAAAATGAAACAAAGTTAGAGTGGGGTTTTTGGGTGGAGGAGGCATGATTAGATCTAACCTAATGCTTTGTGTTCTATTAATTAAAATATAAGCAAAATAGTGCCTATGTGAACTTACTTACTTAGAAGGGAGGAAAGAAAAGAAAATGACTAAATGAGTAAAAAGATGAATGGGAGGTGCGGATTTAGGAACTAAAATTAAATTCAAGAGAATCTAAACTAAAGCAAAATGAAGTGCTTGATGAAGCTCGACTAAGGTGAAAGGCCAGCACGTGCTGATTTTCTTTTGGGTTGCGGATCTTTAGCCTATATCTGATCAAAGTATTGATGTATTTTGGGCTCTGTATATATATACATCTATCAAAGTATCTGATTGCGTATCAGGGCATATTAGCTGATAGGGAGAAGCCCCTATCATTTAGTATTTGGGGGTTCGACCTATTTCAGGGGATAGACAGGCCTTAAATCGACCACAAGAAGAAATATATAAAAATAAAATAAAATAAAAGGTGAGCTTTGATACAGGTGAATATGTTCTATCCAGTGTATGTATGAGACTGTATAGATATTTTGAACCTTGTTGGAATGTATTTATTTACATTATATCATCACATAATAAATTAAATATATATGTATATAAGTGGGTTCCTGAGATTCCAGACAGTGATGTTATGATAATTGGCCATAGTTATAAAATTATAGTTTTATTCTTTCTTGTACTTGTAAGTACCTTGCTTAGTAATTATGATTCTATGAGTAGTTGATCACATGTGGAATCACTTAAAACACTAGAAGCTAGGCCTACTAAAACCAGTGCTTTTTATGGCGGTTTGTGATAGTCTATGTCGCGCGCCCAATTACTTTGACATATAAGGCTCTCTTTATTTATGCTTTTAAAGGGGTAATATGAACTTGTTTAATTTCTTGATAAGAAATGGAGACCCAAACCCAAAAGAGTGGGGATGTTGTAGTCAGAGGTAGAGGGAGATTCCATGATGATAAGAGTTGTAGTGGATAAGGTGATATACGATTCCACAAAGCTTTGAAAGATCTTCTCATTCCATCTACTCTTGGAAAGGATCAAAATGCTGAGCAATCCTTCTTCTTTCACAGTTTCACCCACTTGTGCAGTCATTCGAGAGTGGGAAACAACTCAAACCCCACCTCCAAAACTCTACTTCCTTTCTGGTTTCTCCTTTTTGCATGTTAATTTCTAGGTGGTAAGTGTGAGTATCTTAGCCCATTGGTTTTGTGTTGGAATACCATGTATTCATGCTTTCATAAGTAAAATATTCTCTCTTGCTACTGTGAAAGCCGTACTATTACCATGTGATCATCATCAACCAGCACTATCCAAACAGAGGTGAAGCTTGGGTTGAGAGATCGGTTTTAACTTTGAACCCAGTTGACTTTAGGTCAGTATGATGGTTTGGGCTATAGAACTTGGAATGGTGTCCTTGTGCAACATCAAGTGAGAGAGAGACAATGCCTTCTACCCATTATATTATATTATATATAAATAGATAGATAGAGATAGAGAGAGAGAGAGAGAGGGGTTGGTAAGTATTGCTTGGAGGAATGAGTATGGCAAAGAAATTTACCTGGCCGAGAATATTACATGCCTACACATGCTGTCCTCGTCACCATATCTTCATGAAATTAAGGATCAACTTGACAGGTGGGCAGATGCGCCTTAGACACATGACCACAAATTAAAGGTAAAAGAAAGAAGTTAGGGCAAGGCAATAATAGTGGATGAGTCTTGGCAGCATGGAGCTAAAGTGGTTAAAGGTACTGAGCCAATAGGAAGCTATATATAGGCTCTTTGTCAGATGTATTCATCGGATGGAATAGTTCCATCTATGGCTAGGGGAGACAATCTGATCAAGAAATATATTAAATTTTCCTTCTTAATGGAGCCAGTCCAGAATGTTCATCAGGAGAACTTCATCTCTTCACTGTCATCATTCATCAAAGTCTCAAATGTTTTTAGTTGGAAAATGAAACCCCATAAATAATGGTTTTGGGAGGGGAAAACAAAGGAGCCCTCTATGATTTTTTTGATTGTCTAGTGTATTAATTGTTTTCACAGAAACATTGACCATGAGAAGGCTGACATCAGTGGTGCTACTCGAGTTTTCCATTCTTCAGTACTGGAAATGGTCTCGAGTTTTAATTGAGGCGAATGAAATTGATTTTAGACAAACCAAAGCCACATGGAACCAAGCAGAAGATTTGTTTATAGCCATATTTAATCTTCTGAATACTGATCAGTTCTCAGTATTGGTCTTGGATTGATTGCCAACTCAATCCAACCTACCCAAGTTGTTCTCAATGTATATATAGATACTATCCCACGTCTCAACTGTTCACAGATATTAGCAACTGATGAAAAAATTTGTAAGTTTTTTTTATTGTTTTGGTCGGAAAGTGTGGGTAGCGATCAGTGGTGAGGTGGTGTATAGTCAGAACAGGCTCTGCACTCAGGTGCTCTGCATGAATCATTCTTTTCTTTATGCTCTCCAATTGAATGGTGAACTTTGGTCTCTGGCCATCCCAACATTTTGGTTTACAATCGAACATCTGTGGTAGATGGCATGTGCAGATATACTGCATTCACGAAAGATATAGCCCTTTTTGTACATCCAAGTAATTAATTTCTCTTGATGACAACAGCATTTATATAATAACCTTATAATATATATATTTAGTTAGCTTTCTAGTCTGGTCATCATTTAGTAAAGAACTCTACACCCAGAAACCTGCCGTCTGGCATATAAGTTCAAGGGATTGAATAGTTTGTCAATTTGTTTTTCATGGATTAGAGAGAGCAATTCATTGTTTGCCAAGATTTACACATCTATAGTCTATATCTGTTGGGAATGGAGAAAACACTATAATAGAAAGGCAAAGAAAGAGAGAAAGAGGGAGAACATCAGATTTACATGATTGAGCCAAATTACCTACGTTCAGGCAGCACTTTAGAGTTTTTTCTTCACTATAAAGAAAATTCAATATCATGACCTTACTAGAATCTCACTCAACACTCACTGTTCAGAACTCACCCTGCCAAAAAAACAAAAAAAACAAACAAACTGAGGTTCCAACCTACCGCCTACTAACGGACAATTCGGTGGGATGCCACCACAATAACATCAACACTATCAGTAAGTTGCAGACTTATTAAATAGACTAGAGCACCCGGCTAATTGGAGTTTGGCCGGCTATATTATTCAGAGGTTTGTGACTACTAATACAATAGAATATATAGCCTCTTTTTTTTATGAAAATTCTCTTAAGTGGGCTTGTACTGAACCTCACTAAGTGCTAGTTCACAGGGGCAGCAGCTCAAACCCACAAGGGTTGACCGCTTTAACAACAGCCCACTTGCGAATTGCGATGCTTTATTTCTGCTTCTGTAATAAAATATCAAATAGTAAAACAGACCCACCTTACGAATTCACTAGAAGAAATGGGATAATCATCAAAATTCTTCAATGTTAAAGGTTGATCGTAGATAGATATATCTTCATGCCGACACCTACTGAAGATGCATGATAGCATGGCATGATGATGCATCATCCTGCAGCTTCCTTGGAGCTGTATATATAGGAAATTTAAACCCTCTAATGAGTGGGGGCGTGGGGATTCCTGTGAATATATAGTGATGCCCATAAGCTTGGGTATGAACCATCAATGAACTGTATATATATATATGTATGTATGTAATATATATATATATTTCTGGGCGATTATGGAGAGGAGATGATGAATGGTGCTCGTTTATGTAAAGCATACATCATCATTTCTGTACTCCATGGAATACCAATTTTTGAGTCCTATGGCTTYAATTCCTTGAACCCAATTTAATCGAGAGAGAGAGAGAGAGAGAGAGAGAGAGAGAGAGAGAGAGAGAGAGAGAGAGAGAGAGTTTGAAGCTTAAAATGTAAAAGGAAATAGAAGGAAAAAAAAAGAAGAAAAAAGAAAGGAAACAAACAAGTAATGACTAAATAGGTCCAAAGAACACTTATTTATGACAGAAGCAAGAGGGCAGAGGAAAAATGATCCGCTGACTATCCCGAGGCTCATTAAGCTCATATTACTCAACATTTACTAATACAAGTTGAGCGTTTTGTATTGTTTATGTGTTTTAATCACATATATTTACACGTCTATATGTTTGCCATTCACTGGTGCCTGAGGATTCGCACCTTCTGGCAAAGCTTCCATTGACCCAGATACTGTAATTACAACTTCAGGGCTGTCAGTTTCAGCAAGCGGGTTTACGGTTCCTCGGTGAAGTAGTTGTGATTTCTCCGGCGTTACTGTGGGTTCCACAGTCTTAAAATGTGCTAACTTGGCAAGCTCATGAACAGATTCTGCAATTTTCTCAGTGCAGACAACAATATCGATTAGTAATGAAGCCACTGTTGCAGCAGGTATGACTCCCAAGAGGTCTGAATTCTCCAGAAGTGCAGTTTTCAGTGTGGTCTTGAGGTCCATGGCAGCATTTTTGCAGTTCTCTACATGGGGATCCGCCAAGCTTGGGCCTGTCATTGTTTTGATAGATTCTGATAATTCCTTCAAAGCCTTTCCTGATTCCAAGCTCATAGTTATGCACTCATCTTGAATTTTCCTCTGGAATTCTGGTGGGATCTGTAAGAGTTTTACAAGTTAGAGAAGGAAAAAAAAATTAAGAGTATTTGCAGGAACCCTTTTAAAGGAAGTATCTTTTCTGGCATAAAATATAGATATTCTCTGCAGATTATAGATCTAAACCTCAGATAGTTGCATTTCACGTGAAAACAGAATTTCCAGAAAGCTAGTAGCAACAGTACAAGCAAAAGCAGTAGTAGTGGTGGTAATAATAATACTAATTTATTCTTCTAGTTGTCTGTGCCAAAGATTATTTTGATGAGTGAAGGATCTGAGAGTAGTACTTGGATGTCAGAGTTTATGTAGCCATTAAGAGCTTCGAGTAGATAGGCACATTGACGAATCAGCGCTGCAAGCTTCAGGTATTGTTTCCATGGGTGACGGAACCTGAAACGCCCGTGGCCAGGCTCCCATCTCGCAAAGTTGGCCTATAAAATTAACATAATTCCATCAGTAACAATAACATAAAGCTAAAATACCACTGAATTATGCAACCATACGAGCAGTGTAAACAAATGAAGGATGGCAGTCTGCCAATATTCATGGAAAGATCCACATCCCCAAGTAATTAAAGAAAGAAAGAAAGAAAAAGGAAGGTGGAAGCTATGGTGGAAGGTCCATGCAAATGGTGGAAACTAGTGGTGAACGTGCAGTTGTCGTAACCCTTGCATACAATTTTATATGAAGTATGACGAGGAGAGAGAGAGAGAGAGAGAGAGAGAGAGAGAGAGAGAGAGAGAGAGATTCTCCTCACCAAGGAGTCCTCTGTGGTCTTTGAAGTAAGAATACTTTTATACTTTTGAAGAGATGACTTGTCACTTTTAGAGACCACAGCAGCCTCTCCATCCTCTGGATTTCTAAAGTATTCGGCTAATGGCTTGCCACTTTTAGACACCACAACAATCTCCCCATCCTCTAAATCTTTGAAGTATTCACCCCCGAATCCTGAAAATAAGTTCTCTTCTTAAGTCTGAAAGCCCACATAAAAGAAATACAAGAAGCAATATGTAGTAGTAATTTGGTGGTTTATTCTCCTGTTTGATTTATTTATTCTCAATGTTTAATTCTACAGCACTTAGTGATAATGCACCTTCTAAGAAGCAGGCGAGCTTTTCCAGGTTTTGAGCAACCAGATTGTGAAGATCTTCACCGGCCCAAACTGGCATAATACAAATGGATATGATCACACAGGTTAGGCCTCCAATGACAATAGTTGACAATCTCTGGTGAGCCAGCTCTATGATCTCGTCAACCCTATAACCAGACACAGCTACCAAGCTGAATGTCAATATAAATATCACCACCCCATAGTCGTATCTTTGCTTGACTCCAGGAATGAATCGTGAGAATGTTGACGCTGCAGCTGCAACACATTCGATCAATTTGAATTAATAAGCTTCATTCTATACATGAACAATGATCCATGTGCTTGAAGCAACTTCAATGGAAGTGGGTCATCATCACTTTGTTCCATCTTTAGAGAAACTTACCTAGAAGAAAAACCGAGAGCCCAAGGACTATAGGTTCTCCCTTGTCTCCACAGAGATTTGACAAGTAATGAGCTCCAACTCCTAAGGCACCAGCGAGAAATGTTGCAAATCCTCTATTTAGACCTTTGCTCAAGGTTGCACCTGTACATATATAGTTCAAATCTCATTACTTTTAGGTGTAGAAGTCTCTCCTAAAATCAATATGTAAGCAAAGGAAGGAATGATAAATCCCCAGAAAATTGTGGTGAGTGCTGGGGACTAATTGAAGCTTATGGATTTCAACTTACCAACAGAGAATTCAAAGACAACGACCACTGTTAATACAGCCCACATCCCTGAGATTCCAAAGCCATCGTAAAAAGGCTTATAGTAGTAAATAAGTGAAACCACGGAGAGAGCTAGCCCAACCTTGAGAGCGTGGACAATCCTCCTTGGATCATCCTGCCCAACTTTCCTTACGTTCTTTGCCACCTCAATTACTTTGGCCTTAGATTTCTCAGGCAAGGCCTTAAGCCACGACCACCCACGAACAAGGAGCCCAGGCTTCTTGTCACTGGCTGATTCAATCTCCATGCTTGGTTAATGAACCAGATCTAAAAATGGATGTGGGGTGGTGAAGGCAGTAGTCCAGTAGGAAAAAGAAAAGAGCTTCAATTCGGTTCTTAATTGGCTGCTGGGCTTCCTTTGTATGTAGTCTAGACTAGAGAGAGAGAGAGAAATAGAGACAAAGCGAAGTTACCAGACAGAGAAGGATGGAAATTGGAAGCCAGAAATGCTTGGCAAGAACATGACTTTGGAGGGACTCTCACCACCTGTATTTATAAGAAGAAAAGTTGGCGGAACTTAAAAATTACTTTATTAACAGATCCGGATGTGCTTTTTGTATGATTATTTTTGTAGTAAAACATAAAAAAAATGTTTTCTTTGGTTCTTTGAGAAAAGACAGAGATTTTCTTTGGTTCTTTGTGAGAGGGGAATAAGGCAATAAGCAAGGTAAGTGACCGGGTGACGGAGCTGTAACTTGGATCTAATTAACTTTTACACTTTTCAATGGCAGAGCATGATTCGGAGAAAAAAAAAAGCTAGAGTTCCCATGGAAAATTGGAAATAGCTATTTTCTCTTTAGGCCTCTCTCTCTCTCTCTCAATGCGTAGAGTTCCCCTACTCATGAGTCATGACGGTGATACCTAGCTAAATTGACAGTGGATTCCACCGTAAATGTGCACTGTATCCCACTCTGGAAGTATTTGTTATGTGGCTTGTAAATTAACCAACGGAGTTAGCACGGCATTCAGATTCAGACAAATTGACCGATAGATCTTGGTTGAGTTGACTCACTCAGATATATTAACTGTGTCTGTTGCAGGGTTTTAATTGACACACAGATTTCCTCACCCAAAAAAAATAATAACAGTAACACATAGATTGACCAGTCAAACCTTAAAAAAAAGAAGCATCTTTCACGCCAAGCTTTGTATCTGTATATATATATATATATAGCCGATCGAGTCAACCCATACACATATATTGATCCTCTATTGGACATGAGTTGAATATGTGCACACCCTGTGAAGATGCTTGGCAAAGTAGTGATTTTGTCTCTAGCCCATCTACTGTCAGGGCCTCTTCTTTGCCAATTGCCACGACAGAAGCAATAGAAGCTCAGAGCTATGGAGCCTTCTAGCTACTTGGGTCAGACACTCAGACCCCAACCAAAGTGATTTAGCATTTGATATTCATCGTTATCATTATAATTAATTAAATTTCAGCACAAGTTATAGGTTAAACGTTTCTATGAATAAAAACCTATTCAAAAACCACCTCACCTTAGCTTAAGCCTTCAAGTCAAATGTTTTAATTACATGAGGAACATATTAGAGAATAAAAACCTATTCAGGCACCTAACTTAGGTTAAATGGTTATATGAATGATAGGTGCAATTCTGGCGTCATGTGTGCAGGAGCCAGAGTTGTAATTGAAGACCATCCTCATCACCACTTTGTCATTTTCATGGCCAATTTTTCTATACTTGTTCTCCCCTTGAAGTAGAGGTGCTTCCCTTCTTCATGGGCTCCAATTTGTGCTAGATTTTTATCCTTCAAAGTATAATATGTATATACCTATATATATATATGTATGAAATTGCACTAAAATTGTATCATCTTATCTTTCTACACTTAAAATAAATGAAATTAAATTTTCTCACCTAACATGTTAAACTTTTAAGTTGAACGGTTCCTTGAAAGTTTGCACCTAAAAATAATTCCAACTTTATTTTTATAATTAACCCTACAATTACAAAAGGTGAATTTTTCAATGTCTTGTTCGAGTTGAGTTAACTCGGAAATTAAAGTGGTAGTGTGGCTTCCAAAATTGTATGAGGTAGGACCACTGTCAGCTTTTCGATTCCTCCAGAGATCACTCACAGTGTAACAGGGACGTTGGGAAAGGTGAAATGATGGCTCACATCTTTACCAGCTGTAGAATTGATGTTTAGTTACTTCCATACTATATTTTCGCTATGGTTTTAAAAAACGATTGGGAAACGGAATCATTCTGGTCACTCGTTTTTACGTGGATGGTTTGATCATTTGGTTTAAACGGATAATTTGTTTTGATAATAAAAATTAAAAAAATAATTAAAAATAAAAAATGGCAAAAAAAATTATTGAATGGATTGACAGTTCAACCATTTGAGTCAATGAATCATTGACCGATTCAACGATTTTTGGTCAAAGACTGGATTTGGAGTAAAACAGAGCCGGTTGCCTAACGGTTCTCAGGATGAATGGTCCAACCATCTGGATCAACGGTGGTTCAAAAACCACAATTTTCACCCTTATCTTGCATATACAAGTTAAATCAACATGAAAAAAAAAAAAAACAAATGTAACTCAGAATTAATGTCAGCCATGGATTTATATTAAGGGAAAATCTATGATGCAGAAAAGATATGATATGGAAAGAGTTTTGACCAATCAAAACCCACCCATAAATTTTGATAAATAACACCATGTTCCCTATTACATTTATGATTCTGGTTTATTAGTCAGTTGTTTTTGATATCATATCTTTTCCATATCATAGTCGAACCCTTATATTAATATAAGATATAAACTTATAATATCCTATCTTTTTATCTGATTTCAAAAAGCCTGATGTTTAGCCATTAAATTGAAGCTAAATCTAATATTGAATACTATTACTTATTAGCATCAGAGTTAATATTCACAAGTTAATTAGGAACCACTCAGCCAAGTCAGCATTCACCAGTGACTAGGATCTGACTAGATCATTTCTTTCTTCTTCTTCTTTTTGGAGTAGGGGGGACCTTCACCAAAAAAAATGACTATCTCAATTCAAGATTTAAAATTTTTGAATGATATATGAGCAAATAAAGTCGAATGATGTTTAGATTTTTTTTTATTTCTTTTGATTTGGAAATTATTTTTGAATGTTTATCAACTAAAGTAGTGAGATTAGCCTTACATAAGAATGGGAAATTTTCTTTTCTCTTTCCATGGGCACACTCAATTTTTTGCTGAATTTCACAGTGACTTAGTGCAAAACAGCAGAAGCAAAATAATTAAAAGCTTCAAGTCCTCTGAGCCTGATCCCTTTCTGTATTTCCTCTCTCCTTCCTTCTCATCCAAACCTTATCCCTTATATATTTCTGTTCTTCCATCGTACATATATACGGCTACGGAAATCATGTAACGCTCTAAAACCCACCTCACAGTGTAACCCATTTTCTGATATCTTAGAAACTTCCTTGATTTCGACATTTCTCTCAGACATAATGACTATAGAGATATGAATTGGACATATCCACTTACGCCAACCTATACGCTTTCTATTTTCCTCTAGAACAATACAACATAAAGCAACTCGGTCATTCTTGTCCCTAACTCCCTCAAGAATTGCAAATCTGGTTCAAGAACAAAATAAGGACACATTAGTACTGGGGTTTTGATACTGCAATATAAGGGCAAAAAAGAAAGGAAAAAATAATCGCAATCTGTACTTTGCTTTTGTCTTTAAATATTGGAAAGAGAGGGAGACATCTAAGGCACCTCGGCTGTTGGAGCCCATGGTTGTCTGCAACCTTTTGAAGACACACATGTGGGACACTAGGACCCATTCTCGAATGGGTTCCATATGATTGATCCTACTGAGCACTGATCAGAGTGATCAGAATGACCATAACAATCAATTCCATGAACTTTTCTCTGAGGCTTTGGTCCATTGTCATCACGTTTAACCATCTAAAGGAATGTGTTGAGGATAGGGGAGTTATAACTATCTGATCAATTCAATCTCGGGCATGTGGGAGCTGGTATAGGTGAGTGACTCTTTCACACATGCATTAACTTTATGAGATTTGTAGGCTATTCCTAGAATCAGCAGAAGAGACGTAACTGTGGTACATTTTTTTCGACAGATCATAAGCCACACAAGTAGGGATGGTCACAAGTTGAGCTTTTTATGAGTTATTCGAGTTCAGTTTGTAAAAAGCTCGATTCAATTCGGTCTAAATTGAGCTTTGAGCCCAATAGATAGGTTCATTTGCTAATTGAGTCGAGCTTGAGCCTGATAAATCTTGGTTTGTGAGGCTCGCGAGCCTAATCGAGCTTTTTACGAGTTATTCGAGTTCAATTCGTGAAAAGCTCGATTCAGTTTGGTCTAAATCGAGCTTCAAGCCCAATAGATAGGCTCATTTGCTAATTGAGCCGAGCTTGAGCCCAATAAATCTCGACTTGTGAGGCTCGCGAGCCTAATCAAGCTTTTACGTATATACATACATATATATATATATACATAATATTTTATTTTTTATATATATAATAATATAACTAATTTTTATATGTTAAATAAAAAAACTATATGTATAATTTTTATTTTTATAAAATGGCTGGCTCATAGTGGAGCTCAAGCAGAGCACAAACTTACAAGCTTTTGACTTGAACCAAATTTGAGTTCAAATCTCTAGCTCGAATTAAACTCAAACCTCATAATATATTGGCAACCAATCACGAATAGCAAGATATTTGGCTCAGTTCGGCTCGAATCCACCCCTAACTACAAATTCATGACAATCCTCGAATCTATGAGTTCGTGTGTCCAACCCAATGATTTAAAATTGGATCGATCACAATGCCATGACTCAGTCATTCCTCAAGAACATCCTAGAATTATAGACCCCGGCCCCATGCAGCTCTAGCCTTGTGATCATGAAATATCTAGGAGTCTATTTTTCAGGCAATCAATGAAATATCTACAAGTTGTTTACAGTATTATTATTATATATGAACAGACCACGATCATGGCTTCAAAAGTGCCCGTACTAAATCCAGAGACCGTGGTTAGTGCGCAGAGCCGAAAGAATATAAGCTCATAGTGGGTTTGTCATGTGGTTAGGCCATTAGTATGATCAATTCCATGATCCAAGATTTCTTTTTCTTTCTTTACTTGGTTTTTGTGGTTAATTACTCTGTACATGGACGTACCCATTAAGCCATTGGTTAGAATATGGAGCAGATTAAGGAACTTAGAGAGCCCCAGTTCTCCCCTTATTTTGCCTATTCAACCCAAATACAAAAGAAATCCTTGTTTCCATGTAGAAAGCGTATATATAGATGACAGTCCAAAGCCTCACAACAATGAATTAATATTGGTTTCCCAGTTCCCCCAAGCGTCAGCAAGTTCAAATCTCATTTAGCTTTCTAATAGTACTCTTTTCTTTGAAAACGATTTGTAAACCATCAATTAA